CTCAGAGTTTCCTTCCTCTCTCTAGGATTTACTCGGCTCTCCTTCAGAGCTGTAGAGGATCTAAATGAAACCCAAATGGTTTGTTTGTGTGGAGACCCTCTCAGGCTGACAGGAGGGGGTCCGTCACGGCCAGCAAACACTGAGCTCTGTTCTCTGAGGACTCTTTGTGGACTCAGAGAGCTGGACCGACCGAGAGGCTGTCAACTCTGATCGGAGGAACGAGGAGGCCTCGGCGGCAGAACGTCATGAAGGAAAAGTGAACGAGATGGTGAAGAGTTCATTCAACAATCGGTCGAGTTAAAGCCTCGAAAACGTAAACCTGAGAGGTCAAATTACATAACAGTGTCAGTGTGATGCTGTAAAGAGACACAGAGCGAGACCTTTCACCTCATTACTAACAGAGAGCGTACTCAACCTTTAAATCAGACAAATACAGGACTCAAAAAAACACGTATAACTGTAACTGTCACTGAGGAGACTTTCTCAAAGCTCTGGTAAAAGTGAGCTAAAGTTTTGGGCCCATTTCTCAGAGTAAAGATCCAGAACCCCACTAACCAACTTCACTCAAGGTTTATTTATCATCTTCACTTTAGGTTTGGATCAGATCACAAGAGCTTCAGCAGCTGAAGTGTGGTAATAACAAGCTGGGTGGTCCCGCTCCTCTTCAGAGCTGAGGATGCAGCGTCCAAGATTTCCAAAACGAAAGTCGGATTTAGATTTCTGAGACGACAGGACCTTTTTAAGTCTGTGGGAGCGGTGTTTAAGTGTGATTTTGAGCCCATGCCGTGATTTCCACTCCAGAGTCCTGTCTGTCTTTAATGCAGTGCTGCCTAACTTTGTGTAATTTAACCAAATTACTGTATTTTCCAGACTATATTTTCATAGATTGGCTTAGTTTGCGACTTATACTCAGGTGCGACTCATATATAATTTCACACGTTTGTTATTTTCACACTGACAGCCATTAGAGGGCACTCTAGGCTGGTGTACCAGTATCTGCTAATCCTGTACCAGTGGAGATTTAAAAATTAACGTTAACTCGTATCAACAACTGAGAAAGACTGATCACAAATGCTGCCAAAAAGAAAATCATATTCTGCAGATTACAAGCTGCAAGTGGTGAACTATGCAGCCAAAAACGGCAATCGAACAGCAGACAGAGAGAGAGTTTGGAGTGAGTGAAGAAAAAAAAAGGTAATCGTGGGCTAAAAGCTGGATAGTCTAAATGGAGAAGGGGTCCACGCACAACCCCTGGCTTATTTTATGCCGCCTGTTTTTTTTTAATCCTTGAAGTGTGCATTTTCAGAATATGCCAGGTACCAAACTGAATTAATGTCCGAAAGGCTTTATTTTTAACCCTTCAGTGTACTAACCTGAACTAAAAAAATCGAAATATGAGTGGGAAAACTTTTGATGTAAACAACTTTCGGAGACAAATGAACACATTTTACTATACAATTTTAACACAAGTTATTCAATAAAATATTTATCATTAATATTTGACAACAACTTGATTCTGTTTTCGTTTATTAATGGCCAAAAAATTTCATTTCGTTTAATATCACTATCTACTAGTCTAGATGGAAAACAGCTAAGATGGCAAGATAGTTTTTATAACTTGCCTTTCAAGATAAAATGTCTGTTCTTGGTCTTGGATTTGGAAAATAAATTTCCCCCAAGAAATGCAACTTATACCGGTATATGTTTTCTCTACTTCATTATACATTTTTTGGCCGGTGCGACTTATAGTCTGGGAAATACAGTAGTTAGAAGATGTTCCTCCAGTTGTTTTATTTTAGTGGTACACAACTTTTGACCTGTTTGGTTGTCAACTTTTAATATGCAGACTATTTTCAGTTAAATTCAGATTTTAAATAATTTGCAAACCATCAAAATCTGTCTTGATCAACATTTGATGCAGCCTCCCAACTCTTTTTGGAAGTTTAGGTTTTACAGTCTTTTATTCTCATCCAAACAGCCCACTAAATCCAATCAGATAGTTTAAATCTGATCAGATTACTCCTGAAAAACTGGTCACGAAGGGATGAGTCATTATTTTCTGTCAGATTTCCACTGAACCAGACTCCTGCTCCTCTGAGGATAAACCCTCTACATTTTAATGACTTTCTCTTGCTAACCTCAAACATTTATGACAGTTTTTATTTGAGGAGAAACCATCATTGACACTTTTATGACCTCGACATTTGTCACACACAGAATTCCTCTCCGTTTTAAGAGTTTTTCCAGCTCGCTGAAGTCGGAGTGGAAGAAAAACAGAAGCTCCATTGTGTGAATGAAACTCTGAGAGCATGACGACCGGCAGCATCGACTCCTTTATCTCTGACACAAACTCAACAGGGATCAAACCGGTTTCATGCTCCCCTCTTTTCCAGCTCTCCCTCTATTTTTCCACCCATTTTTAAATGTCACTGTTAGCAGCACTGAGGCGCTCTGAAATACTGAACATGTGAAATTCATACGGCTGCAGGTCACTCAGATTTAATCAGAGCTGAAGAGGCTGCAGATCTTTGCTCCTGATTTCATTCACACTGAGATAACTCTGAGGAGAAGTTCGTTTTAAAGAGCCAGCTGTGATAGAAATGAATTTAAACCACCTCTGATTTTAACTAAAATGATGACGGTTATATTTAGGACATTATTTTTACTCGATTGATGAAGCTGCTCTTCGCCTCCAGGCTCATCTGAAGCTCGATGAAGCGGATTTAAAATCTTCACGGGAAGAGGATGAAATAATCTGTAAATGTGTAAATAATGAAGCTGTGCAGCCGTGAAGTTGAATTAATATTTCTCAGGAAAAATCAGGGAAATGGGTCATCATTAATCTGCGTTAATGACGCTGGTTGTGCAATATTCTGGTACAGGACAAACAGCGATAACAGTCTGTTCTGCAGCAGTCTGTTAATGTTTGAAAGGAAGACAGTAGCAGTAGCTACGTTTACATGGACACAAATAATTTGAATAAAGGCTCAATTGGAATAAAAATGCATAATGTGAACATGTTGAAGATTCTGATCCAATTCGACTCAATCCAGTTGATGTCGTTTATGGTGGTTTATGCCGATTGTTATTATTACGCGCCCATATAAACACTTATTTAGATCGTGACTCTGTTGGGGCGAAACTTACCTGACTATGCATGTGTGCTCTACGTCATGACGCATTTCTGCCGTTAGTGTTAAGGCGTAAACATAGACTCTATATAGAATTGACGCTGTCTGCCTCCTGGGTGAAGCCACTGCAAGAACAGCACCCTCTGGTGACGGGCTGCAGTATAGGTCATAAATCCCGCCTTCTCCAGCAATCCCTAAGGGGCTGTGGACAAACTTTAGAAATTAATTACGCAGAATATAAATTTTTCTCTCCCCTGCTTGCAATGTTGACAAGAAGTTATTGTAAGACTGGTTTGTGTTCAAGTCTTCTTTTTTCTTTACATCTCCATTTTTAAAAGTTATTAGGGGGTTCATGTTTTTCGATGATTGACACTTGATACAGCCTATGGGAGTACGAAGATTGCATAGCTCACCCAGGGGATACGCTGTTTGAGCCGAGCATCATCACAGTGACTCTCTGTGACTCTCATGCCGAATGCGTACAACACTACTGCACAAGTGACGGATAATGACAAAGGGCGGAGCCAAGTTGTCCATAGTATATACAGTCTATGGACGTAAACATGGCGGGATCCGAGATCAATTGGTCTGTATCTGGCACAGCTTTCTTGCTGGATACAGTCTCCTCATGTAACGCAGGATCAGAATGTGTTGCTGGACCCAGTTGATGATCATGTATGCTGGGAGCTACACAAACGCTCACAGAACCTGGCTCACCTGGACTGGATGAAGTGAGCCACTTTTGTGTTTGTTGGTTTGTTGACAGCACAGGCATAAATACAACTCTCCTTCCTCGGTTGTTTTAGCGGAATTAGACAATTCTGTGCATGTCCAAATGCTTCTTCTCTGAATAAAACTTGGTGCATGTATACTCACCTCATGATAGGATTGTTAGATATTGCACCCGTATAAACAGTGGATTCAGAGTCTCCCTTCTAGAAATTTTGCACATGTAAACGTGGCTAATGACAAACCACATTCTGCAGGTGTAAAAGGTTTGCTCTATGCTGAATAACCTTCAGGATGTAAACAGATATTAACACAGACGTCTCTTCATATTAACACTGACACCAGGCAGAAGGTCAGGACTCCCTGTGGACCGTTAATTACTCCACAGGAGATGAAAACTGGATATGAATTAAAGAGACATTAAAGTCACTCCTCTACAGGTAGCCGCTGTCTCACCTGCACCTGAAGTTTGACGTCCACATACTTCCCTTCTTTGATTGGACGGTAGCTGTGAGTTTGACAGCATGTGAATGTCTGTAGCGGCGACTGCCTGTGTTAATCAGCGTGAGGTGTTCAGGGTCCATTAGCAGTCCAGGAGCTGTGAACTATCAGCCGCCACAAGGTGCTTATTTACGGGGACGTCCAGAGCCCCTGGGTGCTAATTTGGCCCTGAGGGTCAGTTTGCAGCATTGATGAAGATGTGGTGTGAAAAGCTGTTGGTGTGAGTCAACTACAGACGAAGACCACACTGATATCCTCTGATGGCATTTACATGTTATCTTAAAGAGCATCTATAGTTAGTTTGATAACTGGTCCTAAACTTTTTCTCCTTCTCGTATCTTAGGCCCTCTAAACATCAGTACAAAGAAGAGAGGAAACAATCTTTTACAGAGGTATATCCAGAGGCAGAACTGTCCTGTGTGAGATTGCCACAGTGGAACAATTCTGAGTCACATATTTGCTCTAAAAACTTTGACGCCTTTGGGTTTGTTGCAAATCTGATGCACTTTGAGTCGATTGCACGCTGCTCTGAAATCAGACTTTGTTCCCACTGTTCAGGGACGCGGATGCTGAGAGTTCTGCAGGTGATCAGGTGGAATCAGATCTTCTCTCTACATCAATCCCCTCTTATCTGGCTGTTTATTGTTGGAGGCCCGGCTGCAGGACTCGGTGCACCTGTGGACCCTTCGCCTGCAGCCTGTTATTGGTCTTAAGACCCGTGGGAGACCAGCAGTGGCCCAAGTCGGGGGTCCCACCCAGCCTTTCCACCACCAGGCTGTGCTGATCCAGATGTCAGCGCATACCAGCACTACAACAAAGAGAGCGGGATTTACCTTCAATCCCCAGACCTGTTGACAATAGCTGCCAGTGCTGCTGTGGGAATGTTCTCTGTTATGGTGAGACCCTTTAGCTCATGAGACCCTGTGGACCGGTCCTCTGAGTGGGATGGATACTGGCCTACAGAACAATACAGAACTTCTTGGTTCTATCAATGTAAAAATGATGATTAACACCATTAAGCGGTGCTCTGGTAGGCCTTCCAAACATGCAGCTCTAAGTGCTTATATAACTTAGTATCATCTGCATACGGTGATAATCGGCATGCTGGTTTGTGAAAGTATTCTCTTGTTGAAGGATGTGTATGAAATAAAAAGGGGCCAAAAATGCTTCCCTGAGGAACTCCACATTTAGTACCATGAGTAACATTTTTAGTCCACAGATTGAACAGACTAGGTTACAGTTAACAGGTTATGTAGGGTAACCATATGTTGTCTTTTACCTGGACATGTCCTCGTTTTTGGGGACTGTCCGGGCTTGTCCGGGGAAGTTTTTAAAATCCTTCAAATGTCCGCAGTTTTGTACGAGAGTTTTAATTTTGTGTCACGTGGACTCACTGAGTTAGAAGCACATAAAAGACACTCGATCCGACCCTGACTCCTGATCTGACTCCGCAACTGCGTAGTTGTGTCCTCTTTTTGGGAAGTCAGAATATGGTCACCCTAGGGTTATGGATAGATATTCATGCTTGAATCAAAGGGAGTAAGTATGAGTTGTTGTAGCTGATGTCATGTCGTACGTATAATGTTTATCACGGACCGAAGAGAGATGCTCAGACAGTCACTCAGAGTTATTTTTGAATAATCCCTCGAGTTGTTTGAGCTCTGTGAGTCGAGCAGCCGCCTGCCGTCATATGAAATGAAGGGATCATTTTAAATGTCACAGAGCTTAGTTCAGACTGAAACAGTGTTTGTCAGGTTGCTGCTGAAAGGGCAAACTACCTCGCACCAGACCCTGCAGCTCTGACAGCGCACAATTCATGATGTCAATACAAAACACATTATACCAGGAACACGACAACAGCAGAGAAAGAGAAAAGATTTTTACGTTTTATTTCTACAAGCTGAGTCGATGAGGAAGGGGTGCAACCTAACTCTTCGACTGCTAAATGCTAACACCTGTGTTAAAGAGCAATGATGAAGTCCATGTACAAAAACAATATAAACATGCTTTTAACATTTGTTTCTTTTGATCAACTTTTAATATAAACCTTTAACTTTTGTTGAATTTGGTTCTTTCACTTTGCTTTTTTAGGGTTAGGGTAAGGGTGGGGAAATAATCTGAGAAGGATGTTAAATTTTCTCTCCACTATGTGGCGATAGTGAGCAACAGACTGATTTGGGTTGCAGGAGGTGGCACAACACTGAAGGCGTACCGAGTAACCTTTCTTTTTCAGGTTGTTAACCTGAAAAACCAGGATCCAAACCAGCACTGACATAGAAAGATGGGTCACAGACAACTTGAGAAAGACCATACTGCATTTATAGATTATGGAAATGTTTGGATTAAAGAAAGAAATCCTCAGATTACCAACTCCGGGAGCTGTGACTTCAATATTGTGGATTGTGCTCCTCTTGATTTTGCTCTCCATACAGACTGTTTTCCCTGCTGACACCTGATTGGCCAGCAGGCTACAAACATAAAACAGTGCACTTTTCTGACTGAAATCTGGACCTAACACCTAATAGTAAGAAAAGATCAGGAGCTTCACCACTCGGAGACGATCTCCACTCAAGTTCAGGCACTCAAACCAACAACAGATGAGTTCACATTAGTTCTGTCTTCTGCTCTGTCAGTGAAATGATGTTAATAGGACGTAATAAATCAGAGTAATTAATCATACCCTGACGTTCTGGACACTTTGACGATGATTCAGTCTCCAGAGGAGGACCTCTGTCTCCTCAGAACCACCCACAGGTTTTTATCTTTTCCCAAAATAGAGGAAGATTTCCCAGAAGAGGCCGTGACACATGCAGACACGCAGACAGCATGAAGGGTGAGTGTCGGTTCAACGCTTCGCCCCGAGGGTGAGGATATCATCCTCACAGCGAGCTTCGCATCACAGCTCTGACCTCCAGACACACCACAACTGAACCACCTCTGACACTGAGCTGCTGCTGTGAGAGACTGTGAGAGTAAAACTAGAGATCAGCGTACTGGTGTTTCAGCTAAATGTCACTGATTCTGCTGTTTAAATATTACTACATGTGCAAGTTTATAAAGATAGGCTGATTTTAAAAAAGTAGTCCTTTTTAGATGGACTGGATGTGAAATGATATTAAATATTAGAAAGACAAATAATGATTATAATAATATTTATTTTATGAAGAAATAGAAAAAAAAAATAAACAAGGAAAAGAAAAGAAAGGGGTCGTTTTCACAAGTGTTACTATGTTACACATTAAATGTAAAGACAATTTCCATCCATACTGAAAACCTAAGTGTTTATTTTACACATATTTGAGGTGTGAAGGAACTTTAGTTCATGAGGAGAATGGAGAGGGGAATTAATGAGCCAGGGCGTGTTGTGCCCGGATGACTTTCTGGAGGGACCGCCCCCTCCTCAGAAATTCGGGAGGGAAAATGAATGGCTCGGGTCTCCATCTTCGAAACTTTTCTACCGTGTTTTTCAGGTTTGTACGCTGTGAAATCCTCAAAATTATACCTTTACATTTAAACAACGTCAAACTCAACATAGCGCGAGTTTTGAAGTGTGATTTTGAAGGACTTCAGTGTGTTATATGGATTTAGAAAGAGAGGTAAAAATAGCGCCGCCACTCTACGCGGGAAGCGATCAGAATCACCGGCGTCCGTACACGGCGGCCATCTTACTTCAGTATACCATTCTCGTACATTGTATGGTAGCTGATGGAAGGTGAGTAATTTGCATGATCAAAAATACTCTTAACTCGCTGAAATCTTGACAGATTTACAAACGGTTTTGTTTATTACGTACCTTAATAAAGTGGCTATGAGTCGGGATGCTTGGACATATTGAATTGGCAGATTTTCTTTGAGAAAAAGAGACTTAAAAGTGAAGCACAGTTGTTTCACAGCGATTTTCTACAACCTGTGTAGCTTATATCATCTCCCGATATTTGAGTTCACTGTTGGTATTAAGGTGTAAATCTCTGAACACTGTATCTAAAGCAAGAACCCTGAACACTTGACATATAATTTTGGTATTGCCTGTTTTGATGGGAAAAAAAATGTTTATGCGATTCAGAAGTAAGGTTATTGAGATGTTTTGTCGGGGTGAAAGGTTTTGTTCCTGAACCTTGTTGGTTAAAACCCAACTGTTGCTTAGAATAAGAAATATTTCCTCTGCAGTTTGTCTGATATCTTTGATATAAGCAGTCTTATTTTGCAGAGAGCAATTTGGAGGGCAGATTTACTGTTTTCTAGCATCCATATTAATTCATGTGCCCTGTCTGATTTAATGAGTCCTGATGAGGTTGTCTACAACTCAGTATTAACTTTTGAAAAGTTGCATTCTGCCTTTAAAATGGGTACTTAATGAATGTTAAAAAGGGGAGAAACCATATAATAATAATAATAATAATAATACATTTTATTTAAAAGCGCCTTTCTGGACACCCAAGGACATTGTACAGGCATTAAGAACACAGTTAAAACACAGTTAAAATAAACAAAAACAATATACAGGTATGGAAATGGACAGTTAAAGGGAATATGCAATATGAATATGAAGTGAACTTTATTAAAGAAACATACGGACACTCTCACTACAGACATTCTAACAGACATTCTCGCATAGAGGAAGGAAAATGAATGGCTCGGGTCTCAATCTTCTGAACTTTATCACTGTGTTTTTCAGAATTGAGAAGCACTGAGCTGAAAATCATTTGTTTCGGTAAAACTTACCTGTGAAACCTATAACATTACTTATGATCACAAGAGCAAAAACATAAAACCTTGGTTGTTGTTGTTTTTATTCCAGGTTGTTAACATGTTTATTTCTGCTGTAAAGTTAGATATATCTGTGAGGACAGACTAAAAACATTCAAAAGTTTATCCTCTGTAGGAGTTTTTTAGAGTTTCAAACCATGTCAGAGACAGCAGCGCCCCCTTCTGCACGGGAGCAGGAATGAGCTAGATTTACATGCATTCAAATTAAGACTTTTTTCTAAGTCATTTTAAACAGAAAATGCAAACATAAAACGATAAAAATAGTGTCTAACTCAAGGAGGAAGATGTGATGAGATAAAAAAAATCAGATCAGCTAAACGGACTTTGATCAGGAATTGTTTTGTTTCTGATTTGATAGATGAACTTAAAAATTAAGTTTCAAAGCAGCTCTGTAACTCTCTGCTGTCTTATCTGAGGTACCACTGATTCACTGATATCTCTTTTTAATTAGAGGCCAGTGTAAACTAACAGAGTTTCTGCTCTCACCTCCTCCCAGCAGCTGCAGAGGACACCTCTCCTCGAGATCTGACTCCTGTGAAAATAACCTGAGGAGCAGCGTTTGGAGCAGCTGGAGAGCAGCCAGGCACTGGATGTGCTGATGGGGCATTTTGGGGCCTCGTTCTCGGCCTCTGGAGGGCCGGGCTGCCTCTAAAGTCTGGAGCACATTAGAGGAGCTAAGCCCTAAAGCCGGCTGATCAGGGCCCGGAGTTCCCTTCCCAGGACAGTAAGTCAGTGTATCACAGATTGGACAGATCAGCCCAGAAACCTTCCCAGAGCTCCCCCACCCCTCAACATAAACACATTCGGACCGGCTCCGTGCACCTGCAGGGACACACACACATATAGAGACGCACACTCGGGGGAAACCCAGCTGACATATCTTAAAACCTTCAAATGTACAATCACACACATCATGATAACGATAATATTATCATTAATCCTCTTATGTCGTCTCAGTGTTATCTCCTAGACCACTTTAAGAGGCACTGACCTCCAGGTTGGGAACCTCTGACCTGTTTAATTATCTTCCCGTCAGACTTCAGCTCATTATAGCTCACTGGTCGTTAGCGCCCTGACTCTGTCATCATCATGGACTTGCCTTGTCTTCAGTAATTCAGCCGGCGGCTCTTCTCCCGTCAAGGCTACAGGCTGTAAAACTCAGCACTGTTTGCTCTGAGTGAATTATACAGTGCTGTGTTCATGCTGTGGTTAACCAGCGATGTAAAATCATTTTCTACCAAAACCGCCGAGTGTCTGCGCCTCCTCCGTCCATCTCCAGACTCTCGGCTCACCCCGTAAATATGCAGCACGTTTATCCAAACATGAGAGTTATTTTTCGGGTATTTGATGCTCAGGAATCCTCGTCAGATTCTCAGATTTGCATAAACGAGCAGACAGCTGACTGGAGGACTCACAAAGCCTCTAACATCAGGTTTGGCTCAGCAGCATGTGGCTTTAATACAGATGATCGATCAGAAACCAGAGGTGCTGTGTGGCGGATCTGGGGTTCAGTTTACTGCTGCAACTCCAAACTGGCACAAGGTTGTGTGGGAGGAGCGTCTCTTTGATTCTTGCAAAGAGGGAACAAAGTTTAGCTCATACTCAGCTTTGGTGCAGTGTTTATTCTCTTGCTTGTACATGTACAAAAGTCCTTTACCTCAGATGCACTTTTAAGCACACCCCAAAAACTCATTCAACTCAGCGCACACATCAGGATCGGCAAGATATTTGATATTTGTTGGCTTTTGCCACAACTTTCCAAAAAGTGGCTCTGCAACTCTTCCTAAAGTTCCACATTTAAAACATTCAGCCTCAGGCATAAACAGGCATGTCTGATCTCTATTGGCACATGTATCAAACCAAGAAATCCTCTTACGCTGGCGCCTAAAACACAACAGGATGTCCACTTTTTTGATTTGAATTTCTGGTTGTCAGAAATGTACATGTGTCACAAAGAAACAGAATGTCACCGTAATTGGGCGCCCACACCAAGCATGAATAAAATCATCTACTCGCTTAATTCGCGCGAAACTAGACGTTTGACTGAATAGTGTTTACTCGCTTCATTCGTGCGTCAAATTCCTGCCAATTCAGCTGGCGGGCTCAAGTGATAGACAAAGGTTTGTTACAATTTACCAGACCTCCTTACTCCTCCATGCGAGCTCCTTTTTATTCTGGTTTTGGTAATTGGAAGAAAATGTATCATTTAATTCGGGGCACCCACACATTAACACGATCAGTTTGTACTTCATTTTAAATACCAGTGAACAACCGTCTGTTTTTATACATCAACCGGCAACCTTCGTGCTGATTAGTTATCGCAACGCGAATGTCCGCTCAAGTTGAGACATTTTCAGCTCCCGCCCAATTCTCATCATTTGCGCCACCAGAGTAGCAGGAGCGTCTAATCACATCTTTGCATTGACTAATCATGTAAGTCATTCGCACGAATGCTTGATGTGTGGAGACAGTAACTCCTTCTTAGAGTGTTTAATCTGATTTATTTTTCATATGCATGATCAAGCTCTACCCCTGAACACATAAATTTGTTAAGCCAGAACCTATTTACTTTTATCACTAGAACACTGCCACCTATTGGACACAAGTAGTATTAACTTTCATACTGCTGTTCATCCATGTTTGTGGTTTGATATCAACTAGTTTTGAATGAGTAATAACCTGTTTTACTCAGTCTCCGTTTATACACTTGAAAAATATCTCTGCCACTACTTAAGTCTACAAGAGAAAAGAGAATAACTGTATAAATCATCCCTTCATACTCCTTGGAATTGTCGATAGCAAAACAAACAAAATCCCTCTGCAGGCTGCAGATGCAGAAACAAAAGATTCAGACTCCTCTCAGTTTGTGCAGCTACACAAAGACTGAGAGTGTAAATCTTCAGTCCTTTAATAATGCAGCCATTAGCCCTCATTATAGGACTTACAGTGGGAGAATATGTGAGTAAACACATGGGTGATTCAGCAAGCATTAAGATGAAGCAGCTCTCCTCAGAGACCTTGGCCATTTGTTTCTTAAAGTTTATCTAATTTTCCAGTACTGTGGTTGCCAACGTGTTTGTGGAATAAGCGGTGATGTCAGCGGTTTGAGCCTCTCTGCTGCTTAAATGAGGCCAATTTGGACGATTTGTGGAGGATCTGCAGGTCCAGAGAGGAGCCCAGAGGGCAGCAGAGATGATGTGGGTGTGGACGGCGGGGGTAACACGTCCTTAACCTATCAGGCTGATGAACACTTGGACTGCTCACCTAAGAACTGCTTTGTTTATTGGTTTTGGAGAACCACCCTGGAGTCCTTGAAGCGGTTCCAGGTGCTTCGATCGGGTCTGAGAGGACGAGGGAGGCAGCTTTGGGAGAAAGTGATGACACAGCTGAGACTCTGCTAACGCTTTAAGAAGGAAGGATTTCAAGAAGAGGAGAGATTTTCATGTTAAAACACGTCCCTTTCTTTACCTTCTTCCCACTCATGCTGAACCCACAGATCCACATCAGATATTTGTCCGAGGCGTGGTCCTCAATCGGACTTCAGATTCAACGAAATAAAAAAAAAGACTCCACTTGAGTTTTTACTCTAGCCTTTTTACTTGGAAAGATCTGATCGCTCCCCAAAGTTTAAAGATGAAAAATTATGTCATAAAGACTTATATAACTTCGATTTTTATTTTCCTCCCTGCGAGTAAACATGAAATAAATCCATAATCACCGGATCCAATCGGGTGATTCAGATTTACAAACCAAATAAAGAGACACAGTTAAACTTGATGGCCGTGCTCCAGAGGAGAGAAACATTCTTAACTCTGTTTTTCAGGGTAAAATTTCGCCATGACGCAGAGTCTTACTCAGTATTTCACTTCAGAGGATATCAGGGTGAACTCTATCAACTGTTGAGATATGTGGTTTTCAGTTTGGTGAGCTGATTAATGCTCATTGAATTCCAGGACTCAAAGTAGATACATGACGGTGAGAGAGATTGTGTTTGATCATTTGATCAGATTTAGTTTAGTTAAGATGTATTTTGTTTGCTTTGATTGGATTTGTTTGAGTTTACATTGATCTGGTGTGGATTGGTTTAGTTTGGTAGGTTTGATCTGGCCAGTTTAGTGTGGTTCAGTATGGTTTTGGTTGTATGGTCGAGGAGGGGTTTGGTTAGGTTTTGGTGTGGTTGGGTATAGTAGAATTTGTTCGGCTTGGTGGTTTTGTTTTAGCTGGATTAAGTCTAGTTTATTTGGTTTCCATGTAATTTTGTTAGGTTTGGTTGAGTTTACTTTGATCTGGTTGGGGTTGGTTTAGGGTTAGGATTTTTTTGAATGTAGTTGGGTTTGACTTTGTTGATATAGTTTGATGGCTTTGTTGGGTTAACTATGGTTTAATTGTGTGGTTGGGTTTAGTAGGATTTGTTCAGCTTGGGTGGATTTTGTCTGGTTTAGCTGGTTTTAAATGGATTTTGTTGGGTTTGGTTTGAATCTAAAATGATCTAAATGGGACTGATTAGTTGGGCTGGGCTTAGTTTGGTCTGGCTGGGTTTAGTGGTTTGGTTTTGCTTGGTTGAAGTGTTTTGGTGCAAGTTGCTTTGGTTTTGGTCCGGTTTGGTTAGATATGGTTGAACTGTTGAGGTTTGTGATCTGGTCTGGATGGTTTTAAATAGATTTTGTTGGGTTTGGTTTGATTTTCTTTTGTCTGGTTGGGATTGTTTTAGACCAGTTGGATTTGGTAAGGGTTAGTTAGAGGTGGTCTGGTCGAGTTTGGATTTGTCTGTTCTGGTTGGAGTCTGTGTTTTTGATGGATTTAATTTGGTTTGGTTGAGTTAATATTGGTCAGGTTGAGTGGTTTATATGAGTTCAGTTTGGTTAGTTTGGTTAGCATTGGGTACAGGTTATTTCTTCATCTTGACAGGAAGCAAATCTAAAGTTTTCCAAAAGCGCAAATGTTTTATAAAAATGTAATAAAAAAAAAATGGACCCTCGTGCTGGTAAAAGCCTGTATTCTAGGGAAATGTGTCCTGACAGTGGGGTTATAAAGCTAACATGTGTCTTTACTGTGTAGTGAAATGACCAAATTTGTGAGCAATTGAAAGAGCTTTTGGAGTCACAGTGGTCTTAAAGCTTACAGCAGGGGGATACTCAGTTTTAGAGGCAGTTTTTAGTGTATGAGGGGTTGTTTTAGAAAAAAAAGACATCAAACTACATGTTGTATAAGAGAATTATCTTTTAATGTGCTGAAAGGTAAATCACATTAATACCCTGAAGAGTAAAACTCTATCAAACCCAATAAGACCGATGGCCAACAGCAGAAAGTAAGGTCCAGGTTGTAAAAATTCTCCTCAGCTCTGGAACGTTTGGATCCGAACACAAACAACATTCCTCCATTTCAGCTGTAAACTCTCTCCAGGATAAAGTTTGGGGGGTTTCCCGTTTTATGCATTTAAATGATTAATTGTGAGCTGCACAAAGGAGGTGAAGCGCTCCAACCTGCGGTTTGAGTTTCCTGCATCAATACCTCTTTGATTCAGACAGTGGCTCTTTATGCATCAGCAGATACTGTTCCTCAATAAAGGAAATGTTTGACTTGGCCTTGGTGGAAAAGGCTGACTCCCTCTTCCTCCTCTGACAACCTCCCAGGGAATGTCAGCGTTTACATGACACAAGACGAGATCTCGCCCTCAGAAAGAGGCCGGAGAGCTGCTCCATAAACCGGATACAGGGAAATGTTCCTGTGTGGAAGGAAAAGGAGGCTTCAAAGGGCGATTTATGCGGGGAGGATTATAAACTGTGGAGAAAATGACCACACGCAGCAGAACTGCTGAACAAACAGCCAGAAAGCAAAGAATTACTTAATTCTCCACTTAAAACATAAACCGTGAAATGGATTATTACACACAAAGAGGAGCTAAATTACAGCAGTATCGGGTCACTCCGGCTCCAAAGTTCCCGTCTGATTACTTAGAGCCGCAGCCAGCTGACAATTTACACCCCGCTCTATATATTTACTCTGTATACCTTTCTCTGTAATGGTTCCCATGCAGTTTGGACTCAAAGACGCGCTTGTGGAGGATTCAGAGAGTCGGAGCCTCCAATTCCCACAAAGTGTTGCTGAACGTCACTCTGCAGCCTTATCTGAGATCTATGTGTTGAACCGTGCAGCGGCTGAGGGTAATTTACCAGAGAGGGAAAACATTGGCTGAAGGTAGTCCACCGTAATCCAATTTCATGTTCATGAACGCTGCGGCCAGGACCGAGTTTTCCCTCTGCACTAACACTTTTCGGTGCGTTTCCTCCCCGTGTAGACTCGTTATTTTCATCTGGGACGACGTGAAAATGAAAAAATATCAACCACAGTGACATGAGAGGCTGCTGAAAGAAATGTAAAAGATCTGTATCCACATATATCTGTCCTTGGTTTGTGTTTAATACAGGGAAGAGTCCTGAAACAGCTTTTTAATATTGAGTATCTGCTGACACAGACGCCTGATCCAATACTTGTTACTGCCTGATTAACTCTGTTTTCTCTGTCAAAAAGAATTGAAATGAAAACACAACAACCAAAAGATGTCTTCAAATTTGAAAAAAATAAAGAGTTTTGAAACCCATCAGCGGGGGTCGTCATTAAAGATGCTGACTCAACTAACTTTCGGAGAGCCAACCAGAAGCCGACTTTTAGTGGCATTGCAAGTAGCTTTAGTGTATCCACCTGTCAGAACAGTAAGTATTCGTCCACACCTCACAGTACTGAGCAGACCCAGACAAACAGCAGTCCACCACTTTGGTGCATTTGTCTGATTTGACCAGATTTTATGCTGCGTTTCAGTTGTTGTCGGAAGTTGGAATTTTCGAGCTTAGAGTCAGAAATTCACCTGGAACATCCCCCCAAAGTAGGCTTTCCTACTCAGAAAGTCAGATGATCCTCACCACCCTGACTTGATGACATCATAATTCAAGATGGCAGTGCAGTGCATTAACAGTAAAGAGTAACAGTGAAAGCTCTTGTAATGTATTATTAGCACTTCTGTTTTGTTTTTGCGAGATTAAGTAAGTGGTATATGTTGTACTGCCAAACGTCGAACTGTGAACACGGTGCTATGGTGTTTGTAAGAGTAAAATACTGTGTTATGTGTTGTTTACAACTGGTATCACTAACAACAACTAACAACCGCTGACAACGGCTAACAACAGCTGACAGCCGCTAACAACAACTGACAATGGCTAACGACAGCTGACAATCGTAAACAACAGCTAACAATGGCTAACTGTAGGCATCCATCTTGGTTTTCCAACTTCCAACTTTTCCAACTTTACTGGAACGCCGTCAACTCAGGTGTAACATCATTCCCAGCTCCGACACCCGACTTCTGAGGTAACTGGAACGCAGCATTACTCTGTACTTGTTTTTGTGCTCTTTTTTTTTTTTTGCAGCTGCTCTCCTCGCCTCTGGCTTTTGCTCTCTAAAAAGATTCATACCAACAAATTTAACTCCAAATTTTGGTATGAAAGTAAGTTCTTTAACTTGGCAGTTTAATCACGTCCCCCATGTATATAGACTACAGTCCTCAGGGTCGGCGTCTTGGGTTTGATTCCTCCCTTTGCTGCATGCCAATCCCCATCATTGCACCCACCTTTAAACTCTAACTACTTTCCTCTTCAGGGCCCAGACTAAGAGACCTCATTTCCTCACCCTTGCCCTGTCCTTAGAGTCTGAAGCCGCCCTTGCTGACCCTCATCTTGTTGTCATGTGATCAGGGTCCATCTCATATGTCCCTCCCGCTCTCCTCACCCCTCATCCTGACGTCCAACTGAGCCCGTTTGAAAGACTCCGGAGGAAACAGAGATACACAAATAATGAAACTGAATCTGAGAATATTTGGCTCCTCTGACCTCCACATATGACCCACTTTTACATTTTCCCTGGCAACGGCTTATCTGCGGCTCAGAAACATAGCGCTGAGATGTAAAAAAAGACAACGCCGGCCAACAAAACAAGAGATTGTGCTGAGAGAAGCTTCGTACACCTGTGAACTTCAAGAAGCAGCCATGGCAGTAGTCCAGTGATTGGACCGCTGGGCGTTAACATCCACCAAAGAAAAAGAAACAAACTTTGAACTTAACTGACCTCAGAGTGAATATGACAGCTGGAGAACAAAGAAACCTCTAAAACCTCTGAAATCAAACTTCTTTTGATCGACACGGACCTAAATACAATGTTTGATTGACTGCACTTTATCCAAATCCTTTTTTAGCTTTGTAGCTTTGGCCTCCACCTGCTGGAATGATATCACAGCCTTAGACCTGTTAGCTTTAGCCGCTGCTTGTTCACATAATAACATAGCCAAAACATGTTAGCTTTAGCTTCAGTATGTAGCATGAGCTCATAGCTTTAGTCCTTTTAGTTTAAGCCTCAGTGTTTCGGCATTACACTGAGTCAGGAGCTGTTACCTGCATCAAAATCAAGACTCTGGAGTGGAAGTCACAGCATGGGCCCAGGTTTAAAGACCGAAAGGACTTGGGCAGTGTTGGATTATGTTGTGGCAAGTGCCAATGTTTGAAAAAAACTTCACGCACACAGCTTCTTACAGTCCAGTCTGCGTTTCCCTTGAATCTGATAAGTTTCTTCATATCTCCACTCCTCGGCGTCTACCATTCATCTATGTCTTTTTGTTTGTGTTTTGGAGTCCAAAAGGTCATGCACGGTGGCTGTAAATGAGTAAACGTGGCTTTCTTCAGTAAAACAAACCCTGTGCTCTCTCTCACACGGGGAGATGCTGCTGAATGAGTAAAGAGGCTGGTATGCTGCCACTGTGATGTTTAGGGATGTGATTCACAGATTGGGAGTGCAGCTCTTGGCCCTGCGAGTCGCTCTGTGAGGCTGCACGCATCAATGTATTTACTGTTCTCCTATGTCAGTTTGGAACAGCGAGGCCACCAGCGACTCGCCAATTTACTGACATCACCGGCTAAATAATACCACTTATGAGAATACAAGCCCCGCCCTGAAGCTGGAGCCGGCTTACCTGAGCTTAATTTAGCTCTGAATCACTGCAGCCATTATGAAAACCTCTCAAAAGTGTATTCATGGCCCGCTCCCCTCCAGCATCTTACCGCCTTTTTCCACCAACTCCTCACTTCACTTCACCCTGCTGAGTCCACACATCATCGTCACGGCAACAGAGGCGGCCTGCAGAGGGCACGAACGCCTCAAATTGTGTTTTTATTTAGAGGAATGTAACTCAGCACTCAGAGACTGCTTCAGGACAAATTTAAGGTATTTACACTTCACTGAAGTCCTTCCTCTGCTTCCATCAATCTTTATTTTTATGGTGCCAGTTCTTAAAAATGCTAAAAAAGCAGGTGTGGACCAAGAGATTCAAACCCAAGACTCATGAGTGAAGCACTTTCCAGTATTTAGTGGATAAAAGTGGCCAAAAGAAACTGTCTTTAACCTTAAAAACATCATCCCTCTGCTCACGCTTTAGTCATCCTTCAGCTTAACATCTTTAAATATGTAGCATTGATAAAAAACCCACTGTTTTTTGGAAAAAATAGTTTCTAAAATATGGGAATTATTCTGCTCCTGTCGTGATGTCACAACAGGAGTGATTTGCATAGGCATGCATGTAAAACTTCTCTCACTCCCTCTCCCAGAGTGATTCTGCAACCTCCTTCACTGTTGTGGTTTGGCTTTGATGCTGCAGAGTAAAGGTTGTAGCTGGACATGCCAACTGCAAAAACCAACACAAACAAAACAGATGTTGCCTCTTATTTCCAAACAACAATGTGCAGCTAGAGTCAATTTGCTGATTAATTTATTTGTGGTAAACACTGTTTTTTTCTTCAACATTAAGGTTCAGTACAAAGCTGTGTTTTCTCAGCTACTAGACAGCAGTTCATGACCCAACAAAAGCAGATTGGCTATCAGTAAGTCTTGCAGCTTTGTGAAAATATTGACAGTTTATCAAATTAACTTTTGCTAGTTCTTCTGGAGAGCTCGCCAAATTTGTTTAGGTGTTTTTCCATATCTGCATCCTTCCATTTCTGACTTAACCCCCCCCCCCCCGACAACATGCATGCAGGCTGTAAAAACGTTTATTTCTGCGGTAGAATTCAGAATTAGTAACATGGGGCTCGATGAGGACTTTATTTAGGAGGAGACAGCCTCTTGTGGACAGTAGAGGAACTGCAGTTTTCTTGATAACAATGGTATAGTCTAAATTTGGTCCTCTGCACTCTCAGCATCAGACCCAGGTGCCGATGTCTACTTTGGGGAGGTTTATACCAACACCTGGCACCTTCACCTTCAGACCTCTTGGGTGACAGTTTTATTTCAAGCATTCCTTGTTCCTTTTTGGACCTTCAGCACCATCCTCAGGACCTTCTTTGCCAACTTCAGATGCCGTTATTTCCTGTCTTCTGTTCCACACTGACACTGTTGCCTCTCTATGTCCTCCTCACTGTCTGTAAATCTGCTTGATGTCATCTGTATTAAAGGATGCTCATTAGCTGCAGAGAGTCCAAGTTGATCCAGTCGGTCACACACGGTGCAGGTGAGTCAGTCCGACTCCCGGCAACATGACGTCGTCCCCAGAGACGGACCACACAGACTGAGCAACGGTTTAAGAGAGCAGAGAAGAAGAATGTCAGACATCTTTCACCCGCTGATGGAAAATCAGGTCAGTCAGAGGAAGAGTGTTAGAAAATAAAAGTATGAAGGAGACTCAGAGCAGACTGCAGCTAATCCCAGGGGATGTACAGCATGAGTGTGAGTGTGTGAGTGTGTTTATGTGGGTGTGAGTCAGTTAAGATGTCACACAGGCCGATCAGAAGAAATACCAGACTGACTCCGTCTAATGAAAACACCCTAAATCTGACAATCAGGGTTTTATTCAGACGGTAAAACTAAACTCCCCTGCCCAGAGCATACCTTTAGTTTAATGTTTCTTTAATTCTTCTGCCATGTTTGATGCAGTAAAAGCAGGAATGTCTGCATTTATTTGAGGAAGAATTAATGAGTTTGACAGTATCTCCCAAACAAAGCTGCTTCATGTGACAGAGACATATGTTTAGCAGCCTCTAATGAACCGATTGCTCTCAGCTGGACTCCCTCCAGGTCTGGGTGAGCTGACGGTGCAGGTAGCACTGATTGACAACTCTGTCCTGGTGCCTTCATGGGAGCTGCTGTTACATAGCAGTTTCCCTCAGCTCCAACCCAAATCTCCTGATGCTGTCATCACTCTGAATGGGATTGAGTAGAAAGCAGCTCTGTGTTGTTCGAAAGAGTCGTTTAAAGTCTCATCTTTGAAACAGATGTGACTCTACAAACACCGAATACTTTTCCGTCTTTTTCAACTCGAATGTTCCCCGAGGTGAACGCCACTCTGGGGAAACATTCAGGTGGATGGAAAAGAACATTCTTAGTAATCACAAACTAAAAAGGTGTTGGAGCAAAAGCCGCTGCAGTGGCAATGTGGGTAACCCTGGTTTATTTAGACTGGGTTTGTAGGCCATTACATACCAACAGAGCCTCCTAGCATGGAGGCTTTCATCCAGGACCGTCAGGCTGCAGTCTACATTGATTTTAATGGTTTATATTCAACACAGTGGGAACATTTGCAGTTGGATCTTAACTTTAAACCACCAAAACAGGTATTTGTGCTCTTCGCTTGAAAACTGTGGTACAAAAACAGTTTTTTTCTGAAGCTGACAGCTGCTTGTTTAGTGCCACGTTGAAGTTATTTTGAGGGAAAAATTATATTTAAAGGAACTGAGGCTTCGTGACTGAACGCCTCCTTGAAAGACTTGTTTCCTGCCAAAGGTGTCCTTTCGGATGGATTAGATACTGTCTACAATGTGCAAATACACAGGAAAACATGACAAAGTGCCCTTACAGTGGAAAAAACAGGATGTATTGCAGTGATGTGGCCCTTCCAGCCAAGAAAATTAAATGTTAATGGGGTTTTAGTGGATGCTCTTGATGAATAGTGATGACAGACTCTTTTTCATTAGAGAAAATATGATGCACCACACTGATGATGGCTCTGCAATGGAACATTTTTTTTGCATTTCTAGTAAGAGTGGAGGAAATGCTCTATCGGGTGCTCTTGCAGTGGAGAAAACAGGTTGCAGTGCATGAAAATTGCAGTTAGAAAACACGAAATTGATGCACAGAGACAAATGCATTCTCTCTAAACAACCAGCCAGCATCTTCAAAGAGTCTGATCTAGTTGAGAAAATGTGGAGCACTGCATTTTTTTCTTTACCCCTGTAGAGGTAAATAGGACAGTGATGGAGTCCTTTTTATCAGAGAAAACTTAATTCTGTGCAATTGCAGGTCCCCACACTGTGGAAAAACTGTGATGTGCAGCAATAACTGTTCATTTGCAGTGCAGAAAATGGGATACAGTGAACTATGAGGGGCTCATTTTGATACATTGCTCTAAGAGATTTGTTCAAGTGGAGAAAACGTGGCAGAGAAAACTTGCATTAAGATTTAGGGTGTTCTATCAATGAAAAAAAAACATAATACAGTGTTCTATTTGGAGTGCTGAGTCAAAAAAAATATTACTGATTAAAAAAAGTGTCTTTTCAGTGGAGAAAATAGCCTCATGTGCACCTGCAGTAGAGAAAACATGATGCAAAGAGTCCTCTCAGAAAGCTCCTCAGGCTTAAATTTCATTGCACAGAAATACGACAGTGTTCCAACAGCTGAAGTTTTAGTGGAGAAAACAGGGTGAACTGCAATTTGTATCCCCTTTTGTAAACTTGTGGCTGTCCCTTAATAGTAAGAGAAAACTCTGCCAGTGCACCAGTCAGGACTTAAAATTTCACAAATATAAATCTGTTTTTTCCCAGTGGAGAAAATGTGATGCAGTGCAGAAGATACCACAATGTAAAGGCCTCTATCATAGCCTTATGGTGGCTCACACATGATGCAGGAGAATAGAATAGAGAAAACTTGATGTAGTATTGTAATTGGTTCCCTCAGCGCATTAACGGGAAAAAATAGATGATTGTGTTTCTTTTGCTCCTTTTATTTAACCTCTTTTGAAGGAGGAATGCATTCAGACTGATGGTATGTTTTTTCTTTTACTTTCAAAGCAGAGGTGTGGCATCCACCTGGGTATACAACCTGAGATCTAAGCCTTTAAGGTTTTACGATTTCTCCAACAAATCCTTTTAAATTAGCAGTTGAGTCATCATTGTAACTTGATATATATGCATAAAAATTACGCTTTTTTTTTCAAAAACAATGTGAGAAAAATAAAAAGTGGCAGCTGCAGCCGGCCTGCAGTCTTTTGAAGTAGTGGAAATAATACTCTGCGGTGCATTTACATCTTTCACGGCCCGTCGATTGTTTGTCTTTTCGTCGCATTAATCCTGAGCCTTTCTTCATCTCTGATCCTTACAACAACACGAGCTCTGAGAACTAATAAATGGAAGGGTTTGATTTCCGTCGGTGCTGCCAAACACCACAGGCTCACCTTCACGGTGCAGGGGTCAGGACAGAGCGCTCAGGCCTCTGAAGGCTGAGGGTCCGGGCCGGGGGCCTGGGGAATGTTTACCCACTGGGCGTTCCCGTATTGATCTTATATATCGGCTCCGGGCGGGGAACCATAACAGATAAGCACAGGGCGAGTGTTATAACACGGATCATGTCAAAGCTGCTCGCTCTCTCTCTTCTTTTATTTCCAAACTTTGAGTCGGTGGGAAACTCGTTTTTTCTCTCTCTGAAGTCACAGCTGCTTTTTCTCCAAATATTTATCGGTGAGTCATCGCTCATAACAAACAAATAAAAGACCAAACCTACACAGGAGCACATTCTGACCTATTTTACATCTCAGATGAAACAACAGGATTAGACTACGAGCCGTTTTGCTGGTGTTTTGAAAAATTTAAGACTGAGCCATTCATCCGTTACTCCTCTGTAACTGTACATTTTCATGTTTATGAGGACTGCAAGACGGTCAAATGAAGAATTTGAACCCTTGACTCAATCAGTTATAATTTGAGATTTGCATCATCATCATCCACTGTACATTTAGCAGGGGCGTGTCCAGACTTTTTGGACTTGAGTGGCTGTAGCTTATGCAGGGGTGGCCTACAAACACAAATGCTTATAACTTTCTCTTTCTTTTCATTCTCAGTTTTAACCTTAGGGTCAGGGTCACCACATTTAAAGGGATATTTCAGTGTTTCTTAAGTGTGGTTGCATGAGATACATGTTACTGTAAGTGTTTTAGCTGAAATGGATGTCAGTAAGAATCTGCGGGCAGAACCGGACTTTCTTATTGCAAAGTAAAGAAAAATCTCTCAGTGAAGTGTGAATTCAAACTGATGTAAAAGTTTGGGCCAGAGTCTCTCCAAATTAGCTAAATGCTTGGCACCTCTTCTGCAGGAAATTGTAGCCTAGCTTGCATGCTGGTTCTCACAGTGGTTTCTCAGTGATAGGGTCAAATTGACCTGCATCCATTGTGGCTAAAACCCTCTAAAGTGACATGTAACTCATACAATCTGGCTTAAAAAATACTGAAATACTCTTTTAAAATCATATTTCTTTGACTAGCACTGAGAGAAAAACTGTCAAGAATTAAACAGAACGATCCGCCCATTTCTCATGTCTGTTAATTAAAATTTCATAGTGGATACTTCTGGGAGACGTCTCTTCCATTTCTCATCCCTTCACAGTGTGATAATTGTTCCTCAATTAAACTTTAAAAACATTTCTGGACATTCAGTAACGACCATGAGAACAGAGAGTGAGAATGGGCCATCCAACAGGCGGGTCCGTCAAACATTACCTCACGGCTGATCCCAGGATTTCAAAGACGTTTCTTTAAATCCATAAAATCGTCTTTCAATCTGAATCCAAATGTGTGCTTTGTGTTAAAGGAAGGACAAAAATCCTCTATTCTTCTCTCTCAGTGAGACGTTCCCACGCGCCACAACAAGTCAAACGTCAACGGGGTTTCATGAGCAGCTGGACAGAAATCATGAAAACAAACCTTCATTACTATCTTTCCTGAGGAGATTTCTGCTCAGACAGGTGGAGCGTTATCGCTCCTCCATCTCTCTGAAAACCTTCCTGTCGGCCTGTTTGTCTTTCACTGAAGCTGCTTTGTTTTTTCCAGAGGAACATCAACACACTTTCACACTCCTCCATCAGGAGCATTACATAACGTTCTCCTGAGAAAGAACCGTGAGAACAGATGCTGCTAACACAAACCAAACAAAAACATATCAATCAAAATAATTTATTTCTCTGTCATTGTGCCCCCAAAGCTCATCAATAATGTCCTCATTTGGTTTCAATATTCTTCAAAATGACAATAACAAGTCTACACATAAATAAATCACCATCCTCAAGCAACAGGATGTCAACATGACCTCAACACCGCCAACTATCCATAAATATTTGAGATTTTTTTAAGAGTCATAAAACGGGCAGTAGAGGGTTTATAGTTGAACTTTGAGGCAGAAAAAAACATCTGAAAGTGCCAGAAAAGGAAAGAGCCCAAAATGTAGATAAAAGGATGAAAAAGTAAATAAAATCTGAGTCCCAGAGTTTGCAGTTCCTCATGCATCCACTAGAGGCTGTGTCCTGCGGTGAGTCGGGACCCATAGAGCCTCATGTTAAAACTTTTAAGCTAAATTTAACATGTTTACAGCCGTTGTTGGAGAAATGATATGAACTCAGGGTTTATAAGTATCCCTGGTGATTCCTTTAAAATATATAATTAAAAAAACTAAAATAGCATTTTTTAATAGATTTTTTTTGTTTGTTTTGCCAAATATTTTTGCATTTTGAATCTTTGGAGTATTTTGCAAAATGACTTGGCGCCTTGTGAAGTTTTTTTAATTAGGTATGCAAGAATTTTATGATTTTTACTTTGCAAAAACATGATGCAAACAAATGTTTTTTAATTCTTTTAAATATAATTGTAAAATCTTTGTGCAGTTGACTAGTTAGCAGTTGACACACCAATTTTTCGGAAAAAAACTAACTTGACATCAACGAGTACAGGAAAAAATAACCAAACGAATGTGATGCACTGCCTATGCCACAGGGGGCACCAGATAGAACAGAAACAGAAAGTTGCTGATGAGAGCTTTAATTTGGAGGCGAAATCAGAAAAATATAGTATATCAAAAGTCAAAGTTGTGACTAACATAAAGCCACACAGGTATAAAACATTAATTTCTCTCCTCCTCTTTGGCTGTAAGATGTCTGTCCATCAGTGAAAACTTCTGTCCTCTGGTGACTCTGGAGGACTTACCTGTGGACTCGTTCACCTGAGGAATGCAGTTTATTTTCTCCTCATGAGGAATTTTCCTCTTGTGGTATTTCTTCCACACACTGAACAGTATCTCCATCTTCTTCCACATCTGCTTAAAACTGATAAATACCACTCACACCATCTCCCCGTCTGCAGAATTTTCCGGTCTGTCCTGAGCTGCTTTCCAGAGAATCCGTTTATTTGGAAAAGTCACATCAGGAAGTGCGAGTCCAAACAAAGTCCAGCGATTGTAAATCTAAATGTGGCTCTGTCCTGCAGCTCCGTGGGCTACCTGCCCCATCTGACCAGACGGAGGCGTGGGTGGAGGTCTGAGTCAGACGGAGGTCTACTTAAGGTCAAAAACAGACTCTTCAAAGCTCTCAGACACACAGGAAGGTGTGTCACTGTTTATTATGCCACCCAGAAGACACACACACACACACTTTAACACACACATGCAGCAGTGCAAAGGGGGAAAACGTCCTCAGAGTATTTCCTCAAGTTTAAGTCCTGAGTCTGTCTACATTTCGCATTCTCTGTTGTTCGCTGTGCTGTAGCTCTTTTTTTGTTTGGCATGTGAAGTGGATCTCCATTCTGATGCCTCAGACTCGAGTGAGAACTACATATCCCAGTGGATGTGTGTACACAGGTGTATTGCATACTGCTAACAACATAAGTGGGAATGTCCCCTCTTTAAATCTGCCCGTTCATTGTCTGAAAGGCAAGTTTTAAGGTATGAAATGGACTCCAGTCAAAGACTTTCTTTATTAAAAGTCTGGGAAAAAGAATATATAGTCAGGCTAAGGTAGTCATGGTCTCCTGGGGATGTTTCAGAGGTTTTGTCAGCCGTTCAAAGTGGATTTAACTCATGAAATAAACACAGTTGAAGTCATTTAAAGCTCAAGGGCTGAAAGGAAATGAGACAGAGTTTTCGGTGGTATTTTCCTCTTGTTTTTACTAAAACGTCACATCCACTCGTCAGTCTTTCGAGCTGCACTGAGAAGCTGCAGAAAGTTTCCTTCTCTGATGACGAAATGACCTTTTCATTGTGTCTCACGTCAACGTCACGGCGGACGGAAATGAGCCGACATGCAGCAGAACAACAGCTCTTACATTTGCTTTTGGCAACGTTTGGCATTCAGCCGCAGTTTGAGTGACATCCCGAGAGTCCTGAACGCACCGCAGAAACCCGAGCGATGAACTCAGACACGGCATGGACAAAACCTCAGTCTGAAAAATCGGACGTTTTTATTCGTAGTGATCGTGATGTTTCACAGACTGAGGTTTAGGATGATGTTATGAAAGCTGAGTTCAGTTTTATTTACGTTCAGTTTGACATGATGAGGACGGAGAAGTTTCAGCTGAGCAAGGGAGTCTCAGTCTGCTTCTGAAACATTATTTTTATTTGATTTAAAGACTTCAGTGGCGATGAAGTATTTTAACAGGGAAGGACAGTTAAGGCAGTAAAGATGTTATGCTAACAGGGCTTCTGATGTGGTTGTTGCTCACATTGACGGCCTCTTGCTGACCTGATATTTAATTCCCATCTCTGACAAAAACTGCTGTACTTTAGTGTTTACTAGCAACTAGCAAGAGTTAGTGGCTCAACAACTTGTTAGGTTTGTATTAAAGATGAAGTCAACTCAAATCTGATGTCATTCCCAGTTGTGACATCTAAATTCAAAGGTACATGAACACAAGATCAGGAAGGGGGAGCACACCAACCCTTTGTTTTATGTGCATATATGAAAAAACCAAGGCAGGGAGAGCAGCAGCAAAGGCATCAAGGATCGGCTCATGTACTGTGGGCAGAGCTTGACTTTTTGGCCTGCCTGGACTAACTCTAAGCTCAGTATAGACACTTTTGGGATTGTAGATGTAATTGGGTTTTTCCACCGCTGCAGACCACATTTCTCCTCAGACACTAACAGAGTTAAAATGGTTCTTCTTCGTTGTCTCTAAATCAGGAAAAGATGTCTGCAGCTTTTTTCTGCATTATGAGAATTCTTTGCATTCTTTGTTTTGAACATTTCTGTCCCTCATCAGCCCCCATCGGTGTTCCTGTAACTCTCCCCGCCTCATTAAAAACTTCAAACGTCTCAGACTGAGGAAGACACACACACATTCCTGCACACACACTTTCTATTTTTAGGCTTTTTAACCTCATGAGACGTAAAGCTAAAGGGTCACCCCCCCTGACTCTCTGCTGTCCAGATGTGTTTCCCATCCGGAGTCCAAACAGATGTTCTATTTAAAGACGTGTCTTCACCGCACACACCTGTTTGTTTGAGCAGAGCCTCAGAGGATCTCAGCCAATAATGAAAAATATCCTTCAGCTTAAAGGAACCTCTGTGGGGTTATTATAAACTCTGCAGAGTCTGTCTGATAAATACCTGGAAGAAAGATGGTGCTGTCTAAACTCAATCATTTATAATGATTTACAACTGTGTCATTCTCTTTCTTGATAAAACAATTTTAGTTTAAGGCGTCCGCTCAAGACTTTAAAAACATGGTGCAAATAATCTAATCTTGTTGTATTGTAATGTCTGATAAAAAGTCATGTCTTAGGAATAATTTATACACTTTTCACCCAATAAGACAACAAATTGTTTTATTTCCAGGTATATTTACTCCAAGGGGTAAACAAAAATTAAATTTTAAAGTTTCTTCAAATGAGGAAAGTCCCTTAAAATACTTTAAAAAGTCCTGTTTTAAGAGCTTAACAAGTCTTTTTTTTTATTTTATTTCCTTTGCAGGTTGTTTTTTTAATCATTTTAGGCCTTATTTTTGATGGTAGTATCTTAACATAGAAACTTTATGTGACTCATGGATTAAAATAAGCCTAATAAGACTTGAAATAAGAGAAAAACAATGACTAGGATTTGAGTATTTGTCAGTCCACTGTTTCTTAATGGAGTCATGTGCACCATGTCAGGTAATCCAGTGTAGTAGAGGGTTAAGTTTTGCTTTTTTGGCCTGCACTACCCTTAATTTCTTACAGTAACGAAGACACATTTTGTGTTTTTCATCCTATTTTTCAAGCAGGATAATTTTTTTGCGAGGAAATATGTCTTAGACGAGCAGGACAAGCTCAGAAATGAGATGTGCCTCTTTGTTCACTGGGGGCACCAAGTCTTCTGATTAAAAGGTTCCTCACTGTATCACCCCTACGATAATAACAAGTGTCCATCTCCATCCACTTTATCATATATGAGGACTGACTTGAGCTCTGTCAAGTTGAGAGCGCAGCACTGTGCATTAGAGAGTGGATTTACTGAAAGATCATCTCCACAATTGGATGCGAAACAAAGCAAACTTCACAAAGATTCAAAAGTTAATGGACGTCTTTGCTCCTGAAAATCATAAATGTTGTAAGCTTTGAGAATTTGACCTTGATAGTAGGGAGAAATCATGTGCAATTCATGGAGTAGGTGGCTGTGAACTGTTGAAGTTTGAAGCAAAGTAGCAGTGAGCCTCATATCTGGAGTAAGTGCCGTGGAAACAGGCTGTTATGGAGGATTTATGATAAATCTCATAACTTCTTTTGTAGCTATCATTAAAAAAGTGCTAAAAATTGAGGGTTTGAAGGTAAATTTTCTTTTCAAACATGGCAGGAAAACCAGCTGAAGCCTCTTTTAATGACAGTAGATGGTTTCATTCATGAATGACTGTGAGAAAAGAGGAAGTGTGTGTGATTTGTCTCCTGCAGCTCTGCTGTATTGTTCATCGTCTCATTTAAACCCCAGTCCTCTTTAAAAAACCACCAGTGTAAACACACTTTGCCCCGTGGCCGGCCACAAAAGCCCGCTGTTCACCCCGTCTGACCAACAAGCAGCTGTCATGTTCAGAAAATAATCCTGCGGTCCAAAACTCACAGCCGACCACACCGCTGAAATAAATCTCCATTTCCCCCGGCTGATTTCTTCATTATGTAATAAATCACCAATCAGAGAGTCTGAGCGAAGCACACAGTGATTTCCACGTCTGTCAGGGATGTGATCATGATGCTAACATGAGCATCGTTCAGAGGGAGGTCTCACTACGGCCATTATTCCCGCGCTCAGCACACCCACGTCAGATTTAATGGAGCTGTCAGAGGAGCTGAGGTGTGGTCAGCGCCATTTTCCAAATAATTACCCTCCACAACAGAGGCCGCATTGTGTGGAGCCTCTGAAAGTAGGTGAAGTACACGGGGAAGTACGCAGAACACGGCTCACTGTAACCCTGCATGTTTCTGAACGTGTGAGAGGACCAGAGAAGTGTTTACAGTCGGAGAGAGGAGGAGGAGGAGGAGGAGGAGGAGGAGGAAAAGCTGCCTGAAAAACCTGCCTGAACCTGCAGAGAACTTTAGAACATCAGCTCACCTACAGAGAGGAGAGACACAACCTGCTGATTCTGTTTCTGAACACTGAACACTGAAATAACCACAGCAGAGGGGTAAATAAAACAAACACATACACAGATTTATGCTATAAATAACAACTTAAAAAGCGTCTTTTTCTCCTCTGAAACATTTTTAAAGGGGCAGTACAACGAATTCAGCAGCAGACTTGAATGTAATATTTACAGAAAGGCTGTCACAATATCAGAAACAGTGCCCAGCATACGTCAGTAGTAATGTATTCCTTAATATCTAGATGAGCAAAAGTGCAATTTCAAAAGTTTTGACAAAGCTGAGTTTAACTGAACTTTTTATTTATTTACCAAAAGATGAAAATAAGGGTTATATGGTGACTAAAATTGAGCTTTGCTTCCAGAACATTGATTGGGGTGTACTCATTTTTGCACCCTGATTTTCAGTTGAAAAAATACTTTTTTGTATGCAACTTAAAAAATCTTGTTTGCAATCAATGACCCACATTTGGGGGAGTATTTTGTTGTATAGACTGACATAGAAAATGTTAATTTTGAAAGGAAACTAAATGTTTTTCGACAACTCTGAAGGGGTGTACTTCATTTATGCTGACTACTGTATTCACCTCATGATCCCTGTGACCAAAAACAATAATTCAGGAAGATGATGCCATGGTGATATTTACCAAAAACTTGAGAGAAAACACTTTGAAATGAAAGCGATTCAAGGATGGAGCAACATTA